TGTGGATATAAATAGATCTACCGATGGACTAGGTAGACGTGTCGGCACATATAGTGTTCGTTAGGCCTAGGTGTAGGTGTGTAGGATCTGTATAGGTGTAGGTAGCCTACCTACCCTGCACTTTTATCTGAAACATGTTTCGTTTCCAATACATCATTAATTCGCGAAGACGTAGCGATACAGCATTGACAATCTTTATGAACAGTCGCGTAACTAGATATAGTCGTGCTAAAGTCTGAGTCTTTTTTCATTAATGCAAAAATTTTTCCCCTTTGTTACTTTTTGAGAACGAAAAGAAAAAAGACGATTTCTGCATAACTTTTGCGTATGACGATTATTAACGACCCAAAACATCACGACACGACATCAAAAAAATACGATATATTACAGAAAAATTAGAGCCGACCAATCGAACAAAATACTTGTAAAAAAGAAAAAGAAAAAAAAAAGAAGCAAAAGTAAATTCTACTATCAATCCTGTCACACAAGTGTATTGATGCGAGTGTGTTGTGTTCTGTTCTATTACGTGGTGTAGGCCATATTCGCCAGTTGTATCCCTGAGATAATTGACCTGATCGGGACGCGAAACAAGTATGGCGGCACTTTGAAGAACGAGCGAGGTCGCAGGTGAGAGACACAACCAACCAATTAGCTTCCTTGATTTGAGCCCCTCTTTCCTCTCCTGACTACCATTATACCTACGATATCCTCTCGTATACGAAAGGCAATACAATTTCCACTTTCACTTTCCTACCCCTGTAGCATCTATACCTGATACACCTTTGTAACACTTATTTTTTCTGACACACGTACACTCACGTACACGATAGTTTCTTTTCCGATCTCCCGTTATCTCCTGTGAATGCAATCTCCCAATAGAAGCACGTACAAACATTAATCTCCATCAAGAAACCTTTTTCTGATCCGACGAATCCTTCTTGTAAATCTATATATATACACATATATATTTAGAGATCAATGTTAGCATTGCAAAACCGCAGTTCCATACCAGCTCATTGCACTAGTTGTCAGTCGGCCTTAGTGCAGCCGCTGCCCCAAAAACATTCCTTAACAACACACACTAGCCTATCAGCAAAAAACCTCTCAATAAACCAGCCAGCCCGTCTGCCACCACGGACCTACTTACCACACCCAGCAACTGGTGTTAGCTTGTTTGTTCACACCGATAGCACTTGGGACAAATACGGCTTATCGCGCTTGACATAAAGCATAAAACGAGCGAATATTATTCGAGCGAAGTCTTCTGTGAATAGTACATCTCGAGATACTTTGTTGATTGCCGTCGTAGATGTTACGCGAGACATTTCATCGTTTTTATGTTACTCATGAACAAATCGTGCGAATCTCAAACGGATTTTAACAAAACGCATTGTCCGGATCAATTTCGTACGCTTAGTCGCTTCCATTAATTAATTGACATCGTAATCATTGTGTCGATCGTGAATCTCGGGGGAATCTAAATTGAGGCATAGCACAGATAACGTAATTCACTATTAAATGTATATGTGACAACTTTGAATTGAGCGAACAATTGTGCGTCACGGTCTATAAATTCGCATAACGAGTCTTGAGTTAATTATTCGATAGAGAGATGTCACGGCCGAATAATTTTATTGTCGTACGAGCGAGGTCGCAGGTGAGAGACACAACCAACCAATTAGCTTCCTTGATTTGAGCCCCTCTTTCCTCTCCTGACTACCATTATACCTACGATATCCTCTCGTATACGAAAGGCAATACAATTTCCACTTTCACTTTCCTACCCCTGTAGCATCTATACCTGATACACCTTTGTAACACTTATTTTTTCTGACACACGTACACTCACGTACACGATAGTTTCTTTTCCGATCTCCCGTTATCTCCTGTGAATGCAATCTCCCAATAGAAGCACGTACAAACATTAATCTCCATCAAGAAACCTTTTTCTGATCCGACGAATCCTTCTTGTAAATCTATATATATACACATATATATTTAGAGATCAATGTTAGCATTGCAAAACCGCAGTTCCATACCAGCTCATTGCACTAGTTGTCAGTCGGCCTTAGTGCAGCCGCTGCCCCAAAAACATTCCTTAACAACACACACTAGCCTATCAGCAAAAAACCTCTCAATAAACCAGCCAGCCCGTCTGCCACCACGGACCTACTTACCACACCCAGCAACTGGTGTTAGCTTGTTTGTTCACACCGATAGCACTTGGGACAAATACGGCTTATCGCGCTTGACATAAAGCATAAAACGAGCGAATATTATTCGAGCGAAGTCTTCTGTGAATAGTACATCTCGAGATACTTTGTTGATTGCCGTCGTAGATGTTACGCGAGACATTTCATCGTTTTTATGTTACTCATGAACAAATCGTGCGAATCTCAAACGGATTTTAACAAAACGCATTGTCCGGATCAATTTCGTACGCTTAGTCGCTTCCATTAATTAATTGACATCGTAATCATTGTGTCGATCGTGAATCTCGGGGGAATCTAAATTGAGGCATAGCACAGATAACGTAATTCACTATTAAATGTATATGTGACAACTTTGAATTGAGCGAACAATTGTGCGTCACGGTCTATAAATTCGCATAACGAGTCTTGAGTTAATTATTCGATAGAGAGATGTCACGGCCGAATAATTGTATTGTCGTTAAGCGAATCGCGCGCTTTGATATATGTCGAGCTGTATTTTTCTCCGAGTGCAAGGGATTAACGCCCAGCATGTACCCTGCATTATCCGAATATTGAGAATGCATATATTATATATATACATACATATATAACCTATTGTTGTACCACTTCAGTGTAATAACCTTGATGTTTTAGACAATATGTAATAATGAGATCGGTTTTTTTTACGTATTTATAAACCTTAAAAAGGGAAAAAGGAAAAGAAGATATACTTATTAAATAACATGTGCACTGGGAGACGATTGCTGGTCATGCATAAACTCAGGGATTCTGGTTGAGAACATCCTCAGTGGGCCGAAACGACAGTTCTTTTTTTTCAGTTCAACTGTCATTTCCAACTAGCGCAAATATGGCTTGCGCAAATGTGATCTTCCTTAAGATGGAAGCTACACAACAACAACACGCTGCTGATCGTATCATTGTTCGAGCACTTTATTTGAATCCGATCACACGATCGATGAAAGAATTTCCGCGTGTATTGTGTACGATAGTAACCCAGGAGAGCTTTGTTACGATGATAAATCTTTCGCGAATCGATTAACGTTATCATTTTTCATTGTCTCTTATAGCGGATTATATCACCTGTATATTGCGTGCCGTTTCTCATCAATATTCTATTAATACTGGTCATTTTAACTTTAAATGGGGCGACGCGTCAGATACTGATTTAATGAATTAATTTGATTTAACGCATCGTGGATTTAATAAATTAAATGGTCTGAGCGCATAAAAGCATACCGATATCGGATAGACATGCTTGCGTGAATAATTTCATGTTCACGATAAAAAAAAAAAAAGAGAAAAGAAACAGACACAGAATCTCGTTATACGAGCATTCGATTTTCCTCGAACGATGCGCGCATCAGATTTGTGACAGATTCGCGACACGCACCCCTGCGTCTTCTTAATCCGACTCAACTCTCGTAACTCAACGGTTGACACATAAACGACTTATAAACAACTCTTCACACCCACTCACATTTCGACACGTACACATGGCGTCAGGTCCGTATATTAGAGTAAAAGTAATCTTAACAGTGGACATTGGGCTCACATCGGATTCAGTAGCGTTTGTCGCGTTGGCCTTTCTTTATGAGAAAGATTTTTTCTTGCGCGTAATAAAGAGTATTTTTGTACACGCGCGATGAGAGGCAAAACTGAGTTCACGATGGAGTCAAACGTCACCGGGTAGAAGACATTAAGCATGGAATGATCACGGTCGAACTCTGCTATCTTTCCTTTGCAAGTCTGCTGATTATCTTTAGGCACCACCAGTCTTATCTGTTACGGTGGCATTTCTAGAAATAGAAAAAAATATGTCACTATTAATATGTATATATATACACGCAGCACGTAGAGATCACACACTTGTAGAAGAGACTTTTGTGCTTGACGTATATCGCAATAACTAATACACGAATGAGCCTGCACTCGTGCGTATTTAACCAGACACTTGTCAGTATTAACCTCTGTATATATATCGTATATCTAACGCTATTAATTTATTGTGTATATAGGTATGTGTGCGTGTGTGTGTGTGCATAGTCGTTCATGTTAAATGGTTAAAATAAATCACTCCAATTCCTAGCGCAATTTTGTGGTAAGTCTAGCTCCTAAATTTATTATTTATTTCACAAACAAATACTGTAATGCGTACAATGCGTGTATTATTCAAGTGCCAAATAGCTTTTATTATTTTTTATTATTTTAATGAATAATATCGACTAAGTTTTCTTTTTAATAAGCTCGGTTGTCAAGAATATCGATTTTAGACTTGATTGAATTTTTCTTGAAAAATGCAAATTGAAAATAATATCAATTTATGTCTTATTTCTTTTTTTTAAATTATATATATTGTTATATTTTCCAATAAATAACTAATAATAAATAGCATAATTTAACAAAGTAAAGTGAAGATTTAATTTCACTGTGGCAGCAGACTAAAATGGCACGAAAAGAAAAAAAAAATGTAATTCGATTTCCTATCGGCATCAACATTCGTTCTTCTCTTTCTTCGTCATTTATCTATTTTCATATATACATATATCTTGGAAAGTATTTGACAAGAAGCTTATTCAACAGAAAAATTAAAGTAAATAGAAGTTGTGTGGCCGGAAAGAAAAGAACTTATATATATAATATATATTGTGGGTCTGCCGTTATATAATATACTACATAGAGCGTATATGGTAGTTGCTTGAGAACTTTTCCTTTTTTTTCTTATATCACTCATCAATATCACCCTGATAAGAACGTAATCTAATATGTTCGTTGTGTTGACAGACATATTGTTGTGTGCGGCCACATCACCTACGAATCGGTCTCGCATTTCCTCAAGGATTTCCTACACGAGGATCGCGAGGACGTCGACGTAGAAGTTGTCTTCTTGCATAGGTATGATCGGCGTTTTTGTAAAATTGACATTTCTCGACTTGTATCAGATGCTGTTTAATTCTTTCGACATTAACGGATTGTGTTTATCGATCGACTGATATTACAAATGGTTTCGAAAGGGTTATCACTTGACGTGAATATATTTCATGAAATTTATCTTACACATTTAATTATACACACATACATACATTTTTAAATTAATTCATCTGTGTTATCGGTTTACGCGGATGAATAATAACCATTTGTATTGAATTTTATATATTACACGCATTTTTACAGGGAATAGAGGTTTGTGCATTTGATTCTAGTAGAATATACAGACGCTTATATCCTTTTCAAATATTGTCATTTTATTTCTTTATCATTTCTTTCATGCTAAATAATATTTTATTATATTTTTATGTTGGCGACTTCGTGGTGAGTATACGTCGCCCTTCGACGAACGAGAGATTTTCTGTCGCCAGACGACTCAAAGCGATCAGATTCCATTAGCTTCGCGTCTTTTATCGATCGTAAAACTTTGTTATTCCGTTATTCCAGCAGCGTCTCAATTTACAAACAGAGATTTTTCCCATTGACGTTCAATATCATGGACTCTTAAAGGGGATAAACGAGAAGATCACGTTCCACGCGCGGTCGCCTGTGTAGTCTGATCGCTATAGTCGTAAGGGGTGGTTTGTGTTTTCAGGAAAGAGCCGGATCTCGAATTGGAGGGTCTTCTGAAAAGGCATTACACGACCGTGGAGTTTTTTCAGGGCACCATGATGAATGCCGTGGATCTGGAGCGCGTCAAGGTACCCTGAACCCTAGAACAACCAACACACGAAAAACCTTCACCAACCAACCAACCCTCCATCAATGCCCTCCACGTGGCCGCTCGCGCTTCTTGTTTCCTTGCAGTTCTTTAGGTTATTACACGGTTATTCGCCTGGGTATAACACGCCGTGTGATGGTCGATCGATATATATATACTTACGTATCTTTCTCTTTATATGCATATATATACTATCTATATTTATACATATATTTACGTCACACGTCATGCAGTCTCACGTTGATAATTGCATTATTTTTTATAGAAACTCGCATCTGCGAGTGATTCGTGCGTATATGAAATACACCTGCGAATCATACCAATGTTCGCTACATTCTTTAGATTTATTCTCTCTTTTCGCTCTTTCGCTCTTTCTTCTTTCATTCATGAACTGTCGAACTGTCCGGTGCGGCATAATTAAAAATACCATCTGACCATCGATTTGCACGTATTGTGTTTCTCGCGAAAGTCGTTTTTCGAGTTTACTATACCAGGATTCACGGCATTCTGACCATAAAGTAGCGCTTTCGAGAATACATCTCGTGAATACAAAAGCGACGCAGCACCGGACGGCCGAAAGATATATATACGTATCTATCTATATTTACGTAGAAAGCAACCGCCTGCGACTGCATGGTATGCTGTATTGAGCTATGGAGCCGACTCAGCGTGCAGTAGAGACTTATTTAGAGATTTATTACTATTGTACGCCTTAACGTTCCCGTTTCCTTTGAGGGTGATCGCGTTCGATTCTACCGCACATTCGTTCGATTAGAATAATAATCGACCAATTCGATGAATTAGTGACACAATATGATGTGTAAGTTTCCCCTCAAAGGCCGCGAGCACGTGAACGATGAATTTGTATTACATATTTACGTTATTAATGAAATCTTCGCCGACCGATTGTCGGCTGGCTACTCGACGATATTCTTGCAAAAATGGTGCCCGTCGACAGCTGAGGTGAATGTTATTTATAAAGAAAATCGTATCGTTTTGTCGGATCCGTTCAGGAAACCGCCTGATCTCGAACTGGAAGGACTATTCAAGCGGCACTTCACCACCGTGGAGTTCTTTCAGGGAACCATCATGAACCCGATTGATCTACAGCGGGTTAAGGTGAGTTTCTTACCATGACCGAACAATCTACCTCCTCGATACAAAAAATATGCGCGTTATAAACCTGTATATATAATATATATCTAACAACCTTCCCTTTATGTATATATATATATATATATATATATATATATATATATATATATATATATATATATATATATATATATATATGTATATATAGGGTCTCGTCTCTCCTTTACTCTTACTATATTTCTATTTTCCTTTCCATTATTCAACTTGTTACCCGTCGGTTCGTCATATTTCGACGTGCACGGTACCAGTATTTTATGTCGCAGTTATATAATATATTTGGAATTGTTACTTTAATTAATTAAATATGTTGAAAAATTTGTGTGTAATTCTCTCTCTAAAAATTTAAATTTTAATTCTGTATCGTTGCATATTTACGTTATTAATGAAATCTTCGCCGACCGATTGTCGGCTGGCTACTCGACGATATTCTTGCAAAAATGGTGCCCGTCGACAGCTGAGGTGAATGTTATTTATAAAGAAAATCGTATCGTTTTGTCGGATCCGTTCAGGAAACCGCCTGATCTCGAACTGGAAGGACTATTCAAGCGGCACTTCACCACCGTGGAGTTCTTTCAGGGAACCATCATGAACCCGATTGATCTACAGCGGGTTAAGGTGAGTTTCTTACCATGACCGAACAATCTACCTCCTCGATACAAAAAATATGCGCGTTATAAACCTGTATATATAATATATATCTAACAACCTTCCCTTTATGTATATATATATATATATATATATATATATATATATATATATATATATATATATATATATATATATATATATATATATATATATATATATATATATATATATATATATATATATATATATATATATATATATATATATATATATATATATATATATATATATATATATATATATATATATATATATATATATATATATATATATATATATATATATATATATATATATATATATATATATATATATATATATATATATATATATATATATATATATATATATATATATATATATATATATATATATATATATATATATATATATATATATATATATATATATATATATATATATATATATATATATATATATATATATATATATATATATATATATATATATATATATATATATATATATATATATATATATATATATATATATATATATATATATATATATATATATATATATATATATATATATATATATATATATATATATATATATATATATATATATATATATATATATATATATATATATATATATATATATATATATATATATGTATATATAGGGTCTCGTCTCTCCTTTACTCTTACTATATTTCTATTTTCCTTTCCATTATTCAACTTGTTACCCGTCGGTTCGTCATATTTCGACGTGCACGGTACCAGTATTTTATGTCGCAGTTATATAATATATTTGGAATTGTTACTTTAATTAATTAAATATGTTGAAAAATTTGTGTGTAATTCTCTCTCTAAAAATTTAAATTTTAATTCTGTATCGTTGTTTTTTACAAGATTGTTTAACATTTTTTCAAGTTTATCTTGTAATGTAAATTCTGGCAGAGAAGAGAAAAATGTTTAGAAATTTTGAATATTTTTATATTTTTTAAAATATAAGATATTTATATATATGCATCGCACATATGTATGATTTTATTACGTATGTATATAAATTTTTACGAAGATTTGACGGAATGATATTTATAAAGTGCGATGTGAGCGGATTATATGATTTGTGCTCGCGTTGGAAAAAATCGATGAAAATAGCGACTTCACGACTGTTACCGTGGGCAATCGGTAGACGTTCGGGAACTGACGTTGTACCGATAACAAACGCTGTTGTTTCAGGATGTTTGTTGCCTGTATGTTTCCCTTTATGCTCGTATATACATTGACGATGTCACACGATACTCCTACCGGAGTCTCTGTACGCTGTCCGCTTTCGTGTCTCGTCAATTTGCGATAGCTGGTTTCGAATTCGATCAATTATTTGCGAGATTTTGAAAGGATTGGGAATGCAGACCTGAGAGCCCCCATGACCAAAACTCAATTTTCGGTTTTATGTTTGCCTCGGTAACGTCGCCCCGATCTAATAGCCTCTGTTTATCTATCTATCTATCTATCTTTCTATCTATATTTCCGTCTCTCTCTCTCTCGTCCCTTCTTTCTATCTATACATACCCGACAGCAAATCCGAGAGAAAAGCAACGTCAATTTTTCCCACATAGACACGTACACACACACGGACATTTATGCATACCCATTTACGTGAAAAAAGTCCCTTTAAGGTTGTGTTGCATCCACCGGATAGACCCATGCCTGCTGTCGACCCAAGTGGGTAAGTGCCCGTGTTTTTCTCGTGGAGAGATTGGTTTATCAGACCGTTACTTTTCAGACGACAGTTTTTGTTAGAGAATTTTAGTATCTGATATATATACCTATATATATGGGACAGTCGAACGTGATATCTGTTAAGTGTATCGATCCTGCACTGACGAAGACGAGACGGTACGTTCTCTTTGACTGTTTGTATAGTTTTTTTTTTACACATCGAGGTTAATGCCAAGTCTTGTTAGCCGATAGATTAGCATGTAGATAGAGGCGCTTCTCCATTATTCAGATGTATAGACTTAGATGAAACGACCTCTTCCCCCGATGATCGATAAGGTTTGCATATCCAAAGAATGTGTCGTAGAGGCTCGCTTTTATACTTTGATCATTATTCGAATCGTGCGACTGCGTCGAAGGTGCGCACGAAGAAAATGAAAAAAAAAAAAAAATTATACATTGCTGTTCGATTGCTATCTTCATTTTATTTTAAAGTAAAAATTTTACATTGTTAAAGTGTAATTTTTATTTTAATATCGAGAATTTGAATGTGAGAAAATTGTGAGGAATTATATGTAGAACCCCAAATTTGATTATTAATATATTTAAGTAATAATTGGTAATTAAATTAAGAGTGTTGACGAAGTAAATTGATGGGATTTAATGAGACTCGATTTTCATGAGTTTGACTAACTTAATTTGCCTCATACATTCCGTGAAACAAACAACTCCATTAACCGTGCGAATCTTCGATACTAAGTAGCTATTGTTGTCTCATTGAATGCTTTTATATGACTTTTATATTGTAGATGCATATTTTTCCATGGTATCTTTTATATCTCCGATGATGTCTTCCATTCATCATATAATTCTACCAATCTGAAAAAACCCGTATATTATATTAATTGTGAAAATAAATAATTTTTTGAATACAAATCATAGATTTGTAAATTTAGTTGTAGCTTACACATATCGTATTGATTTCGTGGCGACGATCGCGAGATACGTTTCATATAGTTGCTTGTCTCTTAAGTAAATACGATTTTATTAGTTGTAACAATTTTATTAATTAATTGATTATCGTTTTTTTACTTTTCTGCTCTATTCTATTTTCGAATATACGCGCAGAGAGCAATCTCTATTTTGCTATCGCTTTGAGACCAACGTCCTGCCCAATATACATTTTTCCTATCTATTAATTGACTATAATAAAGCAACGGATGACACGAAATGGATTATCCCCATGCTTTTTAGGTACATGAAGCGGACGCGTGTTTGGTACTGGCGAACAAATACTGCCAGGATCCAGACGCGGAAGACGCGGCGAACATTATGCGCGTCATCTCCATCAAGAACTACTCGGATGACATTCGCGTTATCATTCAATTAATGCAGTATCACAACAAGGTAACCGTTGTCGAGACGTTGCTCGGAAATAAATTTCATTTCAAACAAAGAGTGATTTACCAAGCGAAGATATATGTTGACATTAATTTTTTTCCAAGGTTTGTTTTTATCGAGAATTGTTCTTGATTTCTGTTTTATTCCAAGGATTAGATATTTTTTGTTGTGTTGCAAAGTTATATGTTTTTGTCGAGGTTCTATCTCTTATTCTGTCAACCGAATGTTGCAGGCCTACTTACTAAACATTCCATCGTGGGATTGGAAGCAGGGTGACGATGTCATATGCTTGGCGGAATTGAAACTAGGTTTCATCGCGCAATCCTGCCTGGCGCCTGGTTTCAGCACAATGATGGCCAATCTCTTCGCGATGCGTTCTTTTAAGACGGTCAGTAAATCGTCGTTTTCCGGCAGTCCACCTGCCATTTAATCTATGCATGTCTGAACGCAATTCTTCGTATAGGTCTTTGTTACGATCAGGCTGTTCACAGTGATCGCGTATAAAAAAAAAAAAAGTAAAGAAAAATAGACGCCGTTGTATTTTTCGCGAAATCAAGATCTTGCGATCACTCGGATTCAACCGCACCAATAAAATAATTTCTCTGGCAGATATCGCCATAATCCGATAAAATCATTTCTAATAAATTTTCGTCTCGTGATTCGCGCAAATCGCTAAATTGCACGCCATCATTATGCACGGTCGCTCAAATTGCGGAAAATGCAAACGCGGAAGCGATTCGAGATTTACGCGTTGCGTTACGTCACATTGTGACACGTCCGGAAATAGTCGGACACGAGCACTTCACTGTGGACATACGCGCACAATCCGTACATGCATAGGAGCGTGTGATTTAGAAATGGTTGGTTGATTGGTACCAGTCGCCCGATATGCAGGCTTGGCAGAATGACTACCTGCGTGGAACCGGAATGGAGATGTACACCGAGACACTGAGCCCTACCTTCATTGGAATGCCCTTTGCGAAAGCTACTGAGTAAGTCGGTCCATGGACCAATCCAACATCCAGCAGACACGCGCATATCTGATTCAAGAGACGGGACCGGCGTTTGCCGGCGGCAATATCCATCGTTCGATCGCCATTGTTCTACCTTGTTTGATCTCATTTGCGTTCCCCTGTGTGTTCTCCGTCATAGTGATGTGGTTTCTTTCTTGTTATGCGGTTACGAGGTGAAACGCGATCGGGAGATGTACGGAATTGTCGGAACAACCGCTAATTCCGTGTCGAATAATAGTCTTGTGGCGCGTGTGTAATTATTTTTAATTCATGCTTCTTTAGCCAGAGTGACGTAGCGAACACGTGGCACGACGATCGATTTTGTCGTCTAACAAGAAAAAGTAGGGGACTTGGTCTCCCGCTATTTTTATGGACTTTTTGCGTTGTATGTTACGCTTTTATGCCGCAGAGAGATTCAAAATTAGAAACTTAGATAAGGTCTTCTCATATCACCTTTTATTAGATTTTGTTTTTTCAAGAATGAATTAAATAATGGTAGAAAAGATATTTTTACACGATTATCGTAGCGACATTGAAATGGTAGCCGATCATTTTTCAAAAATGTGAGATGAAAAAAAAAGTAAGTTTTGTAGAATTTTATTTTTATTTAGAGCAGTTTTTATAAACTTAATTGATAGATTGATATCATAACAAATTATTGTTTTTTTTTTTAAATGTATACCTATTTTCGAAAATATCACGTTAAAAAAATTCTTGGCGCGTTGAATCCCTCTTAATAGACAATTCAAGAAATGAAGTATAAAATTAAACACAAAGATTTTCAGCGCATATCAAATTATTTTAATATTATAGTTACAGAAAGCAAATTTAAACTTATTTCAATAGGCAAGTTAAAACAATTTTATTCATTCGACTTACGCCGAGTTCCTCTGCAGTCGTGCAAAAGGTTTATGGAAAACGGATGACTCTTCTATTCCTTCTTGTAAGACATGAACAAAACTCTTGTGGTTTTTCTCGCGTGTAACTCTGTCGTTTAGGTAGAATCTTGAGAAACACTCGAGCGAGGGAAATTCTTGGAGTAAGAATAGCAAAACTCGCTCGAGAATCGTCGCCGTCTATATTTTTTAGTCATGCTTGTCCATTTCGCGTTTTGTTATCGCGATTACATTAACGACAAAAAGTCACTCGGAGGAGGTCCGCAGTCTCTTGAATCGGAAGGCAAAAAAAAAAGGGAAGCTTCGCCTCGCCTATGTCTCTCACTACGCTCCACTCTGCTATATACGTAAACGTATATACATATATTAGTATATATACATATATATATATA